CCCTTTTTTTTTTTTTTTTTAGAAATAGCCTTTGTGCACAGCCAGCCTTGTACTCTCCTAGGTTAAAAAAAACTGTCGTCCATAAAATGCGTTGCACAAATTCGAACATCTGGGTTGTGCTGTTCTGTTGTAAATAAATCTTAACCAATGATTCCTAATTGCATCTACTTCCGGAAGGCCAAATAAAGTGCTTTTTGCTTTGGCACTGAAACACACAGCGTCTCCCTGACATGGCTGCATCAACACTACTGCTGTTCCTGAAACCATGCCTTCTTTCTCTGCGTGCACATTTGGGCGGCATTATGCTAATATTTCCACATAGTGACGTAGGTATGTTGGGGCGACGAGCCGTTTTAGGTAGGCGTGGCTCACTCTTAACTTTAATAAAGAATATCTCTTTGGATTTGAGACTTTAGTCTTTGCAACTTTATAGATCTTCTTTATGCACCAAGAGCTTGTAACACTCCAAAGAGAATTTAAATCGCATCATATGACCCCTTTAAAAAAAACTTTTGAACGTTTATGATTAAACCATCACTTTCTGAAAGTTTTTTTAAGTATATTTTTTCATTTTTGGATTAATTGCTATTTTTTGCAAATGTAGCAGCACAAATGTGTCTTCTGAAGCAGTACAATATTTTGGAATAAAATTAAAATCTGAACATTGATCAACTCATGCATGCACAGCCCAAACAAATACTGGTTCTTTCACACCACATGAATTACATCATGATATCCAAGGATCAGTGATGTTTGATGTGATGTAGTGTGCCACCATTTTTGATTCAGACTGTATTGGCAGAATGAATAACATATTAAATTTCAGTTCGTCTTTGATTCAGTCATTATGCTTCAGAAGAATACGAGTTGGGTCTTGAAATTTCAAGTTATAGTAGGCTTTCTTAATATGGATTACAAAAAAAGGTATTTGGTGTTATATTTCCACTTGCACTTATCTTAAAGTTGCTTTGGGTTTGTATAAAGGTGTGTTGATTTATTATTTATATTTATTTGGATGTTTTATTAATAAAAATTATATTCAAACTCAAGAACATTCAGCTGAAACACCCCTAAAAGTTTTTCCCAATTAAATCCAGTTGACAGACAGCTCTGGAAGACAAGTTGTGCAAATTACTACAAGTTTTTGAAAAGTACTACAGGGTTTTAAATGGGCACAGGTCCTACTGAATAAACACTACTCTGATCCTTCACAACTTTATTTTCATATATGGAAATTTAAATATATCTTTCCACACAAGGGTTAATTTTATGATTTGTTGTGACATATACTAACACTTTTGTTTAATGCATTTAGAAAAAGGAGCCTGAGCAGGTGCAGAAGGCAGCAGTTTATATTTATTTGGATGTTTTATTAATAAAAATTATATTCAAACTCAAGAACATTCAGCTGAAACACCCCTAAAAGTTTTTCCCAATTAAATCCAGTTGACAGACAGCTCTGGAAGACAAGTTGTGCAAATTACTACAAGTTTTTGAAAAGTACTACAGGGTTTTAAATGGGCACAGGTCCTACTGAATAAACACTACTCTGATCCTTCACAACTTTATTTTCATATATGGAAATTTAAATATATCTTTCCACACAAGGGTTAATTTTATGATTTGTTGTGACATATACTAACACTTTTGTTTAATGCATTTAGAAAAAGGAGCCTGAGCAGGTGCAGAAGGCAGCAGTCCCCATCATTGCTGCTGAGGAGGAAGAGGAAATGTCACGAGGGAACCCACTGGATGTTTTGATTGTCTTTGAAGACAAAGAGGTGATGTCAACCAAGTCTAGGGTCAGTGCACTGCTGCTGTTTTTGAACTTTATGCCCTCATTTAGAGTACACTAACTTCTCAAAGCAGCTTTACAGAAAATGCATGTGTCTACATTACAATTTAGCCTGACCTGTACTATAAATACTATTCTTTTCAACTTGAATAGTGTTGTATCATGTGATTTCAAGTGATGCTATATGGGTGTACTCACTTCTGTTGTATACTGTATGTTTGACTAATACACTGGAAGCAATATTGATGTGACATTCTGATACAATTCCTCACTGCTAATCATGATGTTCATTCTATTAAGTAGTACGGGTTTAATACAGGAGATTTACAGTCTGATGTAGTAAAAAGAAAAAGTTGTATGAACATGCCCTCTGACCTTACCTCTTTTACTTTGAGGTTAGTTTCCAAACACAAGTACATCTGATGTGTGAGCGGCCATCAGGCGCGAGTGTAACACAGAGCAATTCTTTATAGAATTGCAATATTTTTTGGACATGTATAATTTTAAATGGTTATGTATTGTGTTGTATTGTTTTTGTTTTGTTTTGTTTTATTGTATTTATTTTACGTTTGGAATAAATCAAAATCAAATTCAGCAAAAAAGTGAAGTTTGTGTGTTGCTGCTGTTGCTAAATGTTTTATTTTTTTATGTTTGTTTCTTTCATCGTTCTTTTTATTTAAAAACATGGTTGGTGCATTTTATGTTTTGCAATGCTAAAACCATTTAAGGTTTAAATAAACACTGTTTGAATTGTTAATATTGTGTCTCTGTCTGTCATTGAAGTTATGTATTTTTTGTAATGACCTTAAAAAGTGGATTCAGCATTGGGGGAAATTTGCATATTTTTACTCAAAAATAATAAATTTATAGTATATTGCTTGTGTTTCAAAGACACTCATAATTAATTTGTAATGTACTCGTAATACAAAAAAAGTACACTTTAATATCACTAATCAAGCATGTAAATAGGCATATACTTAAAGTGTACTAAGTGTACTTGAAGTTGTTCCAATTTAGCACAGAAAAGTACACTAAATACACTTAAAGTTATACTTTAGTATAATTCAATTACAACTAAAATACACTTAGTACAAAAATAGTTGTTCCAAAATAGCACACTTCAAGTTAACTAATCATTAACACACTTGAAGTATACTGACAATTAGTCTGGCTGCAAGTATACTTGGTATACTTTTTTTTCACTAGGGTAAGCACAGTTTTTAAGTATTTTTGACCAACAAACACCAGAAACATTAGCAAAATTTGCTGTTGGATTCATAACGTCAGGAAACATGACCATCACACTGATCCAAAAAAGACTCCAAGAGTCACTGTAAACTGACGTTTGTTCTCTCAATAATGTCCATCATCCAAATGAAAACAGACAGAACAGAGAAACACAGAGCAGAATAACTAAACACAGCCGTGGCTACACTAGGTATGTTGACTCACTCATCTGTGATCTGACGTCCTCTCTCTGTTTTTTCATCCTCTTCATTCGTTCGTCTGCTCTCTCTTTCTCTGGTCTTCTTCTCTCTTTCAACTCCTGTAAAATCTTTCTGTCTATTTCAAAATGGCAGCTGTTGTTTTGTGCCACTGTCTCCTCAATCTTCTCCAGCAGCTCCTTGATCTGAGTGTGGTCACTCCTGTTCTGATTGTTGAGAACATGATATCTGTTCCCACATTTGTCCAGCAGCCACTGGAGATCCTGCCCTTCACTCTCAATGTGCTGCTCTATAGATGTGTCTAACAGAGAGTCTCCACAGGTGAACAGCACTATAGTGTGACTCCAGACTCTCTCACCGAGAAGATCCAGATGACCCTGCAATGCTTTTCTCTCAGTCTCTTTAAATCTAGTATCCACACGTATGATCAGTAGTACAGTGTGTGGTCCTGGAGGACACAGAGACACACTGAGCACAATCTCCTGTTTCAGTAACTCAGGACTCTTCTCTACAGTGTAATTACTCCACCATCCTGGAGCTTCAATGACAGTGATGTGTCTGTCTGCTACTTCTCCATGTCTCCTCACACACTGAGCAGATCTCTTCAAGTTAAACTCCTCTCTGCCCAGGATGCTGTTTCCTGTTGAACTCTTACCAGCTCTTCTGTTACCCATTAACACAATCCTCAGCTCTGGGAGATGTTGGACATCACCTGTAACAAACAGAGAACAAAACACACTTATGCAAGAGGATATTGTACTGAGCACATGTAAATGTCTGCTCAATATAATAAAATCTCTAAGTAATAAAATAAGGCATAATGTACAGTTATTAGTGCAAAAAACGGGGACCAGGTCACTGTTGTGATGGTGAGATGCGAGTTGGTTTGTATTATAATCCATGTACATTCAATAAGTACAGTTTAACACTGATCCAACAAAATCTAAGAGTCACTGCAGGCTGGTGTTTGTTGGAGATTGTTTAGTCAGCGTGAATTAGAACCTGGACACTGAAGTAAAGTCCCTCTCTGAATGTAGGTTTCTGAAGTATATAGATGGGTGTAATACTGTATTTAGAAGAGAAATGTTTTTTGAATGACTGCTTTTCTTTCAAACAGTTAATAACAAGAATGCGTATGAACTACAAGTGTCAGGGCTCTGAATGAGAGAAAGGACCCAAATGCAGGTTTATTAACTGGATGGTAGACAGGGTACAAGAAGGAAAGAAAGGAGTGAAAAACAGTCCCAAAAGAGGTGGACAGGGCCCACAATAGTAAAACAGACTGATTGGGGACAAGACTGCAGCAGATGCGATGGTAAGGATGGGGACAAAGCAGCGGTGCAGGAAATCAGAGGCTTGAAGATGAGACTGACGTAGCACCAAACTATAGCTGCCAGGCCAGGAGAGCACACGGCCAACACAAAGACAAAACAATGTCCTCAAGCAAAAGAGAATCAAAGAAACATTAAACAAAGATAAAACAGACACGACTGTTAGGGCAGGACCCTAACAATATTATTTCATTTACATTTTTTATAAAACAAAAATATCCCCTTAGAAATCTCCAGGTTGCAGCTATACCCGTGTCTAGCACAGAGACTGGTGAAAATCTTGGCTTTCTTCCTGGACCTTCAAGGACACCGTTTTGATCAGCAATATGGTTAGGGTTATGGGTACTATTTTACATTTACTGCAAATAGCATCTACTTTTTATTTAGTGCAAGGAAAATACTTTTTTGCTTTTAACACTTACTGTAAATACTCTGTGTAATAATACATGTAACTCCACTCATTTAATAAAATTTTTAATAAGGCAGTGATTATATACTTGTCATTATCACAAAATGAATCACTGTCACATAGTCTCTGACGAGAACTGCATGCCAGTAACACTTTAGAATACTGTTCCATCGTTAATGAATAACTATATAGGAACAAATGACTAATGCACTATTAACATTCTAGTAACTATCAAGAAACTCTGATTAACAATTAAGTAGCGCTCGGTTGAAACTGATAGTTCACCATTAGCTAATCAATAACTAATATTTTTTCATATCTCCTGGAGAAATATTAAGAACTACTGTATACAGGTTCATAACTAATGCCTAATGTATAATTAATTCTAAAGTGAAGATCATGATGATAATCCACTAGTAATGACTCAAGTATTACCAAATCCTTCTAAAGGAACTCCTAATTACTTGGATCAGTATTCTAAAGTGAAAAGCATGATAACTTCCTAATATTAACTGATGTCATTGTAAGCTTTTGAGATATATGTAAGGTTTTGGATAGTAATGACTCGTGTGTTACTACATCCTTCTGAAGAAATTATTAATTATTTATATCAGTATTCTAAAGTGAAGATCACAGTAACCCACTAGTAATGATTTAAGTGTTAGCAAAATTAATTACTAACCAGAACCTTACAAAAACCTCAAAAGTTTACAATGACTTCAGTAATTACTAGGGAGTTATCGTGATCTTCACTTTAGAATACTGATCCAAAAACTTAGTAATTCCTTTAGAAGAATATAGTAACACCTGAATAATTACTATACATACTTTACAAAACCCTCAAAAGCTTACACTGATTTCAGTCATTAGGGGAGACTGGGGATGAAAGTAACACGGGGTTAGTTGTAACACTGTCAGTTTGACGAGTCAGAAAGGAGCTGTGGTGATGTCATCAATATCATACACTCCATTCACATTTTTAATGTTGCAGGAGAAGTGGCATGTGAATGTGAACAACATTGTAGATTTTATAACCAAAAAACTGATTTTCAGGAAAGAAAGTCATTTTTTTATTAAGTTTTTTTTATTTATTTTTTGCCTAGCGATCATTGTGTTGAAGATACAATTATTTGACTTACATAAGCTAAAGTAGCTGTTTCTCTAGTTTAATGTGATACTTTTGCATTCATGCTAACTTAAAGTCCACATGCTAAAACAGTTAGCTATGTTATGACTGCTTGAGATGGGGATAGTTCATTAAAAATGTTACAACCAACTCCTTATGATGATTCCAATGAGTCCAGTTATCCAACCACATCCTCTATTGAGGCAAAGTCATGTGAGGGTTTTTGTTGCAAATTAAGGGATTTATGTAAAATGTGTTTCCATCATAGTTTATGTGCATACAGCTGGTAAAATAAGTATTGAACACGTCACCATTTTTCTCAGTAAATATATTTCTAAAGGTACTGTTGACATGAAATTTTCACCAGATGTCGGTAACAACCCAAGTAATCCATACATACAAAGAATGCAAAACAAATATGTTCAGAAATTAAGTTCTGTGTAATAAAGTGGAATGACACAGGGAAAAAGTATTGAACACATGAAGAAAGGGAAGTGCAAAAAGGCATGGAAAGCCAAGACACCAGCAGAAATCTAGCAGTAATTAGAAAGCAATCCTGCCCCTTGTCAGTGGAAATTAATATTAGCTGGTTCAGTCCCAACTGATGGCCTATAAAAAAGTGTCTCATGACCAACGTGTCACACAAGAAACATTTCATGATGAGTAAAAGGAAAGAGCTCTCTCAAGACCATCAAAACCTTATTGTTGCAAAACATACTGATGGCATTGGTTACAGAAGGATTTCTATACTTCTGAATGTTCCAGTGAGCACTGTTGGGGCCATAATCTGGAAGTGGAAAGAACATCATTTCACCATAAACCGGCCACGACCAGGTGCTCCTCGCAAGATTTCTGACAGAGCAGTGAAAACAATTACCAGAAGAGTTTTCTAAGAGCCAAGGACCACCTGTGGTGATCTTCAGAAAGACCTGGAATTAGCAGGTACAATTGTTTCAAAGAAAACAATAAGTAACGCACTCAACCGCCGTGGCCTGTATGCACACTTACCACGCAAGGCTCTGTTGCTGAAGAAAAAGCATGTTGAAGCTTGTTTAAAGTTTGCTGCACCACATTTATACAAGCCTGTGAAATACTGGGAGAACATAGTCTGGTCCGATGAGACCAAAATTAAACTCTTTGGATGCCATAATACACACTGTTTGGAGGTCAAATGGCACTGCACATCACCCCAAAACTTCATGGTGTAGCACTGGCAAAATTCATATAATTTAAGGAATGATGAATGGAAAAATGTACGGAGACATTCTTGATAAAAAAATCTGCTGCCATCTACCAGGATGATGAAGATGAAACAAGGGTGGAAATTTCAGCAAGACAATGATCCCAAACACAGCCAAAGAAACTCTCAATTGGTTTCAGAGAAAGAAAGTAAAGCTGCTAGAATAGAAGAGGCCCACAGAACCTTCAAGATTTGAAGACTGTTTGTGTGGAAGAATGGGCCAAAATCACACCTGAGCAATGCATGCGACTAGTTTCTCCATACAGGAGGCGTCTTGAAGCTGTCATTCCCAACAAAGGCTTTTGTACGAAGTATTAAATAAACTTCAGTTAGCGTGTTCAATACTTTTTCCCTGGGTCATTCAATTTCATTACACAGAACTTAATTTCTGAACTTATTTGTTTTGTTTTCTTTGTATGTATGGATTACTTGGGTTGTTACCGACATCTGGTGAAAATTTCATGTCAACAGCACCTTTAGAAATATATTTATTGAGAAAAATTGTGACGTGTTCAATGCTTATTTTACCCACTGTATCTTCTTTTTGGATAAAAACACTAACACTGTGCACGTTTACAATTTATGCGCATCTTAACATTTCCATCCAGCATTTTTTATGTAATATTCCAAAATTAGATGGCAGATGGCAACACAGCTAGTGACTGAATACAGTACACACACACACACACACACACACACCAATTGCTTTTGTGCTAAATTTAAAGTCCTAAAAGGAATACAAAATAATGTTTGTCATTTTAAATGGTTCACTTTATATAAAACTGATTATTCTTTGTTTATCAAATAAAGTTTTTGCATAATTTGGAAGTTTGGGTCTTATTTCAGCAAATTACTTCACAATGTCACATCTATCCCCAGCCTGTGTTACCACTCACCCCAGTAGTGGGGTAGGTTGTAACAACGGAACTCTTTAGTATGTGACATTAACTCACATAATCTGTGATTATGCAGTACACGTCCAAGTGAGTGTTATTTGTAGTAGACAAATGTGGCTACCATATATCAAAGTTTGAGAGATCCAGCACAAACAACAGTTACTGATGCTCAAACAAAAAGTGTTACTTTCATCCCCGGTACTATACTGTTATTCACTTTAGAATACTGATCCAAATAATTAATAATTCATTCTGAAGAATTTGGCAATACTTGAGTCATTACTAGTGGGTTACCATGCCCTTCACTTTAGAATTAATTATACATTATGTATTACTCATATTAATTATGAACCTGTGTAGTTCTTAGGGAGGTATGAGAAATAGTAGTACTGATTAGCTAACAGTGAACTACCACATTCGACTAAGCACAATTACTTAATAAATCATTAATCAGAGTTCCTTGTTAGATACTAGTAGTTACTAGAGAGCTAATATTGCGTTACTCACTGTTCTTGTGATAACGATCAGCCATATAGTTAATAATGTCGTTCTCTGTTATTCATAGAAACAGCGCATTTACTGTTTGCAGTTGTGGCAAATTACAACTACTAGATTGTATTCTGGGAATGAAAACAAGATTTAAAAGCCTAATCTTTGGACTAATTTGAAAATGAAACCGTGAACAGTGTAATTAAAAGTATATCCCTTTACAATAAAGTTGAAATTTAAACATTAGTTAACATGAACTAACAATCAAAACTACTGTTACACAGCATTCACTTTATGATGCACAACTAAAATCAAAAGTTCGTATCCGATGTTATTTAATGGACCTGAGATAACATGAACTAACAATGAAGTTGATTTTTTTTATTAACTAATAATCAACAAACGCTATAGCAGGTGTATTGCTCATTGTTAGTTAATCCATTTACTATCGTTAACTAATATGATCTTATTGCAAAGTGTTACAAATGTAATGTTTACTATGAGTGAAAAGGTGATTATTTTCAAGAGAATAAATGCTTACCGAGGTCCATATTTCTTCAGTCGGAGTTTCACAGTAACGTTACATTAAGTCCCACCAGCCGACTCTTTACTTTCGGTTTGACCGTAAACACTAACTTTACAGCAATCGGCACAAGGAAGTGTCGAGAACACTTTAGACATTTAGAAAAGTAACCTATCAGTCATTCTTGAGACGTGGGACAAAACCGGTCCAGCAAGGGTAGAGTTGCCAACCGTTCCGTATAATACGGAATCGTCCCGTATTTAAGGCATCAAAGAAGCGTTCCGTATGAAAGCTATACGGAACGCAGTTTGTCCCGTATTTAAGGCATATGCCGGATGACCACCTAGACCATACGAATAACAAACTCTAAATTGAGAATTAATCATTCTTTTTTGACGAGTGTTTTTTTTTTACGTCCGCGGTTCGACTTCAGCAAATAAGTTTGAGCGAATGCAAACAACGTGATTCCAACATCCAGCCCCGCAAGAAAACGTGCATTTGACCCTTTTATACAGTCTATGATTTTACCTGAGGGAAGACGTGATCAATAAGGAAAGTCGTCTTTCTTTAATGTATACCTAGATAAAACGATTTACATTTAATGGATGTAGGGTGATAAATAGTATAAGGTTAATGCACATATTTGTATTGCACAATGGGAGAACATTTAACTGTTCATGAGGTAGACTGCCGTTCAAAAGTTTGGGATCAGTAAGATTTTTAATGTTTTTTTTGTTTTTTTTTTAAGAAGTTTCTTATGCTCATCAAGCCTGCATTTATTTGATCAAAAATACAGAAAAAAAATTAATTTTGTAAAATAACCTATTACTGCAATTTAACATAACAGTTTTCTATTTATACTTAATTTATTCCTGTGAAGCAAAGCTG